CTGACGATTCCGCCACAGCATTGGCTAAGCCGCCATCTGTCTGCTCCTCTTCTCCCGAGCTTCCTAAGGATGTCACTAACTTGGATCGGCTGATGGAATCGGTTACTCCCTTCGTGCAAGCTCAGAAACCATCTGAGGTATAAATCCTGAGATTTTATTGCTGCCGTAGTTATTTTCCATCTCGTGAAAATGGAATTTATCCTCATTTCACGAGATTATAGTATTGACTTTTTTTGATTGGACTGTAATCATTGAAAAAAGGCTGCTGATCAATTTTACTTGTCTTTGTTAATCGGTTAATAGCTGCACTTTGATTTATTTGATTGCTTTGTTAGTTTACAATTCCTTCTACTTGGTATGATTTGGAGATGATCACAAGAATGAGTTCTTATTCTGTTGTCATTAATACTTTCTGGAAATATTGTGTTTTATATGTGGTCATTTCTTGAATGAACAGGCAAGTGTAAGAAAACAGAGATCCCGTGAATCCGATGCAAATTCATTCTTTTGCCTTGAGGATCTTTGGGAATCTTTCCGAGAGTGGAGCGTGTATGGCGTTGGTGTGCCACTGGTGTTGAATAAAAAAGACCACATTGTTCAGTATTATGTTCCGTTCTTGTCCGGCATACAATTGTACATAGACCCTTTGAAGCCACTGTCTTGGCTTAGGTGAGTAAATATGTATTTCTCTTGCATATTTAGCTCTTCAGCTTATTTGATGTGTATAGTTTTGGTTTCAATATTTGATTATGGATATTTTATTTTACACACTACTGTGGCTTTTTCAGATGTTGTGCTCGTAAGTTGTAACTGTTTACCCTTCCGCTAAAGCCTATTATTGGTTTTCCGTGATCAGAACTCCTTGGATCATAAATTTCACAATGTTCATTTGCATATGGTGGTCTCATTCTATCACATCTTTAGCATCATAGGACTGTATTAATTCAACCACAGACTTTCATTCGTCATAGAAATTTGGTTCACTGTTTAATATTTGTCTTTAGTTTTGAAAGATTTAGAGAATTTTTGGCCTATCACAACTTTAGAGTTGTTTCCATGCAAGCGGTTGCTATCTTACATTATGTCCTTTACATAAGGTCATTTTGAGCTGTCTTGCTTTTCATTGATTTTAATTTATTTCTACAATTTAGTTGCAATAATTCTTTCGCATTTAAGTTTTTGTGCTGATACATATCAGATAAAATATGTCAAAGACTCAAAGATCATGTGGTGAATTGTATTCAATTGGGGCATGGTGCAATTGCTGTCAGTTTACTTGTTTATTCCATATATACCTTTCTTAAAGAGTCTCAAGGGCTCTTCATTTTGATCAAACCCTTTAGCCTACCACTTTTTTGTAGTTGATGATAATCTGGAATAACTCCATTTCACCATATTTTCTCTGATTATATGACTTAAAATTACTGCTTATCAAGTTTCTCTAAAAATGGTCGCTTATAAGTGATATTGAACAAGCATGTCCCATCTTAGTTTTGCTTCCCAGCATTATTAGTGAATAAGTTGACTGCTTTACTGACAAAGTTGTAGACTTGGAGCAGTATCTGATACACACCTGTGAAATGAAGGAGTATCTTCTCTACTTTAGGAACCCATCTTGGTTACTCAAGTGGCTAGATGATTTTTGCACCTGATGCAACTTGAAAACATTGATATTGGTGAGCAATATTTTCTCAGTATTTTTTGGACTTGTTGCCAAGAGATACATAGGTTGGTTGGAGATGCGGCCTTTTTGCTTTAACAAGTTCTTGTATTCCCTAAAATGGAGAATTGTTTTCACTTTAACTATGAAACAAGGCATGATTACACTGGATGTTTGGATTCTTTACACAGCATGTGATTGAAAGTTATGCACTCTGTTTCATGTGACCTATTCATTTCTAACAGGAGTTCAGGTGAGAGTGATGTCGAGTCACTAAGGAAATATGGTTGTGTTGGCAATGGTCATTGTGATATAGATAAGAAATCTAAAACTGCTGTTGGAAAATGGAGCCAAGAAAACCAATTAAATTCAAATTCCCTACAACCAAATGGGATCTCAACTAGAGATAAATCTGCCGACGAAACTGAATCAAGTAAACCAGCTGGATCTCTTTTGTTTGAATATTTGGAGCAAGAACAACCATACAATCGCAGGCCATTGATTGACAAGGTAAAAGTGTAAATGGACCTTAAAAGTTTTATGATGATGATCATACTTTCCACCTCTTCACTTCGAGAGGTTTTAAATTCCCTTCACCTTGACAGATTATGGACCTAGCATCTCAATATCCAGAGTTGAAGAAGTGCAGGAGTTCTGATTTGATGCCCTCAAGTTGGATGTCTGTTGCTTGGTATGCAAAAAGAGAAAAAATATTGACTTCGTAACGTGTTTTTGGGGTATTTTAACTTACAGGAAGTTTCTTGCAGGTATCCAATATATAGAATACCCATAGGCCACACACTACGGGATCTGGATGCATCTTTTTTAACATTTTATCCCTTATCCACTCAATGTAGAGGTACCTCTCGCCTCCTTATCCTTCTATGCGATCGCAAACTTTTCTATCGGAAGATAGTGAACATTACTTGTGAATATGTGATCATATATCCTTTCACTCCACCACATGCGTGTCTAATTCCTCCAAAACCCTCCCTTCTATTTGTCCCAAGGTCTATGTTTTTCCATCTGCCATTTTTAAATAATAAATCTGTAATCTCATTGTCAGGTCCTGTTCAGCCACAATTTCATGCTGCAAATGGTAGGAGTATCAATAGTATGAGTCATGCTGCCCTAAAGATTTCGTTACCAGTATTTGGTCTTGCTTCATACAAACTGAAGGGCTCACTAGTGAGTCCATCTGGACCCCATGAGTCCGAGCAGGAAAACTCTCTCTTGCTAGCTGCAGACCATTGGCTTCGGGATTTAAAGGTTTTTCTCCCCGATTACCAATTCTTCCTCTCTCATTATTCTCAAGGGAGATGATGCACGTGGTCTGAATGTTTGCCAACAATTTTGTTCCTCCATGGTAGACGTTCAAGTGCCAATTTGGGCTCACTTTCAGATACAATGTCCCGAAAAAGTGTCCTGTCCTATAACTTGGTCAAGAAAGGCTTCATGCGGTCAAAAAGCAAACAAACTTGAAATATATCAGCACGGGTCGGTACAAAAGCTTACCAAAAGATGGCCTAGTGTTTTTTGGGGCAACAGTTTGATATGTGCTCCATGTCGTAAAGGTATATCCAATTGAAGTATTTTTAGTCGTCCTATGAGACACATGATCTGTCAACTTGGTTGTTGTGATCGTGTCACTGGAACGAGTATAGAACACCGGAAGAAACAGGACGATCATGATGAAAATTTTGAACAGTCTGTACGCCTACCTATATACCAAACTCACAAATTGAGGAGTTACCTGTTAGCATGTTGTCACGAGTGATATGAAAAAATAAAAAAAACAAAGATAGATAAAAAGAAAGAGAGTCGTCTGGAGCTAGTCAGACAATTGTGTTTTTGTAGCATGAAAGTTTAATATTGTATTCTGCCTATGCTTTGATTACCCTTGAGATGGCTAAATGAAACCTTTGTTAAGTAATTGCGTTGCATGTAGAGATCATTATTGGATACAAAACCAAAAACAAAAGAGTAGAAAATCGGAGTTGTGTGTATCTGCATTTCTGTCTATTCCTCTAACACCATATGGATTTGTTTGAGTGTGGAAAAATTCATTTCAAAGATTCTTTTTTGGAGTTTTGAAAACCCAATTCCACTTCAAAGAGTTGATGTATGTTCTTTTCCGGATGGGCGTGCACGTTATTTGAATTGTAGTTCCAAATTCAGGTTGCAATTAGAAAAAAATATGCAAATACTGTTTTTAGGAAAAACTATCTAAAATAATTCTAATTTTATCCGGTCTTTCAAAGATAATATTTCACCGGGATGTATACTAATCCTATTTTTATTGAAATTTACGTGTTTTGAATTATTGTTAAGTTGCTAGTGGGATCTTCCGAAAACATATGATCTAATTTTTTTATATGTTTTTTTGCTTTAATTTAAAAGTAGTTTCTATCACATTTATGTTAAAAATTGGGGAGTGATGTCATAAAACTTTTTACTCCCTCGGTCCTAAAATGTTCCTTCTTATTATTACTCACATAGTCAAATTTTAATCACACGCAATCACTTTTATTTTTTGATAACCTTTTGCATATCTTTTATTTGTAAACAATAACGCCATGGTAATGTCAAAGACTTTATAATCGAGCAACATATAATTATGTTCCTAAATGAGAGGTCAAAAGTTTAACCTAAAATGATACGGAGTACTTCATGAAATTACCATAATTTTTTATTGTCATTTTTCATTTACCTTTTTGATAACTTTTTACAATGTAATCATGTTATCTCCGTCCTAAAATGATTTACCTCTTCACTATTACGATCTTTCGATAACTTTTATTTGTTTGCATGTCTTATTGATCAACAACAACAACAACAACCCAGTTGAATCCCACAACAGTAGGGTCTGGGGAGGGTGTGTGTACGCAGACCTTGCCCCTACTCGGAAGTAGGGAGACTGTTTCCAAGAGTAAATATTGTTATCACTGATCATTTGAGCATGTTCTCATTGATTATTTGATAAAATTAAATATTGTTATCATTTCTTGATTTGTAGAACTTTTGATATATATTTTTTAAGTAGTCTGTATGTAAATCTTTTTTTCCATTTCTATATCAATTTAGAAATAAAATTATTTTTAAAAATTATGAAATGGTATACTACGTATTTCGGTTATAAAGGAAGAGGCCGCAAAGCCTGTGAGGGACAATTTCCCAAGTTCCTACTGCGTCTTTCTTTGAGAACATCATCCCCCCCTTGACTTGGTCTTTTTTTTTTAAATTTAAAAATACACATTTGTTTATTATTTACTTCCCTACATTTTTTCCTTCCCTATATGGCTATATATACTGCGTATATCCATTCAAATTTCCAGAATAAAGCTATCTATTTAAGGTAATATTAGCTGTAACATCAACTTTCAGTGAATCCGAATTAATTAATTATATTGAAGATTTGAAGGAATTATTAAACAAAGGAAAAAAAATGAAATCGAGGGGGGCGTGGAACCTGGTTCGGGTAGCATTGCTCCGCTGGGCCAGAGAGGGATCGGGTTTCAGAAGCAGGGCGCAACAGCTCGCCGTGAAGTTCGTCAAGAGCCTCCACGGCCGCCGCTCCCGCCGGCGCCGGCTCGATTCGTCCTACGCCGCACTCCGTCGCGGCGAGCGCCAGTTCTCCTTCGGCAGCACTCCCGTGGCCCGCCGTCCCGCTCCCTTGCGGCTCAAGCTGCCTCGCATTCCCTGCATCGGCAATCCCCGCGTGGATTTCGATTTCCGGAGCACCGACGACGACGATGATTATACGATGGAGTCTCGCGAATACGGCAGTTCCGATTGTTCCGGTTTCTTCGAGGAGAGTTCGGCGACGGATGATTACGGCGGCGATGAAATTGATCAGAAGGCGGAGCAGTTCATAGCCAGCTTCTACGAGCAAATTAAGCTGCAAAGGCAAATTTCATATCTGCAGCGCCATTCTGAATTGCTTTCAATTTCAACCTCACCTAGTTAATTGATTGAATCATACTCCTATTAATTCCATTAATCTTATCCATAATTAGATTTAAACGTTTGTAATCTTTGAATGCATATATCAAGAATAATATTGGTATAATATTCATCGCTCTTTGTATAAGACCGAAACGAATATTGTACAACCGGTTGTATCCTTATGTAACAATCATTCCTGTGTCACAACGCTTGAGCTTGTGATTGAGTTGGTTCTTTTGACATGATATCAGAGCCTTGATGACCAAGAGGTCACGAGTTCAAAATTCACCGCCACCCGATTTAAAAAAATTAAGATTTCACGTGCAAGGCTCAAAAAGGTCATGCCTACACGTGAGGGGGCATGTTAGAGTATATAACAATCATTTCTGGGCCACAACCACAAGCTCAAGCTTGTGGTTGAGTTGGTTCCTTGACATATCCAAACTTAGGTACAACCTGGGAACGGCAAAGAGACGGGGAAGGCCGAGTGAGGTCGCGATCAATAGAGATCCAACTTCCAATAGATCGAGAGTGTAGCTATGATGAAGAGATGCGAGCGGCGGCAAACATGCTATGCAGCAATGACGGCAGCTCAACTATAGCGGCAACGACTGTGGTAGCAGCGATCTAACCCTAGCGACGTGGTGGTGAGCTTTTTGAGCTGGTGGTCTGAGACGAGAACTTTGCGCTCCTTTACAATGAACACTACATTGCTTCAAAATAAATATTATTTTGTATGAGAATGAATATTATGTTGTTTGCAAATGATTATTATAATTGTAATGAACAAATGTGCAAAATTAAACACTACGTTCGTTCCGAATGAACATTACTTTGATTCAATATAAATATTATTTGTCGGTGTAAGTAGCTATAGCTACACCTGATTGTAGTACAGTAGACCTCGGATAATACGATATTAGCTCCAAAATTGATAATAACGTTGCTAATGATATGCCTCTTGAGTAATGACGGTTGATAAAGTGTAGTTGTTGCACTTTTTACTATCTTTGGGGAAAAAAATCGCATTCACTACACCTAAATGTACTTTTGGCCTTTTTAGCAACAAAAAATGTACGGAGTAATGACCTGGTTGACTACCTACTCCGTATATTGTACTTCGTCCCCAAATTAATTCATTAACTTTTTTGTTTATGGTAGTATTGATTATGATAGGATTCGTATGGTCAGCTTCTATAACAGGTTGCGTCTTAATTATGTTAGAATTTCTCTCTATATATACACTCATGTGTAACCTCTATTGACTTGAATAAAATCCATAATTTAAAATTCCACAAAAAATATTATATTTTTTTTTTACTTTCTTAATAAAGTAAAAGATATGTGATCCATATTTCTTCTTTTTTCAACTACTCATTTTTTTACTTTCTACTCCGTAATATTTTTCTCAAGTTGCGTGAAATTAAATTGTCTTAGTTACGGGGAAGAGTATATCCAGGTATGTAAGGAGTAATGTTTATTGTACATTGGGCATATATCTCTTTACACATTAAAGTTTAAACATTACTTATCTCACACGTTTATTTCACTACATATGCAGGGATATGCTTATAAGTTATAAGATACTCCATCCAAAGACTAATTTCAATAATAAAACTTGTATTTTCAACTCATATCCACACACATTTTATCAATGGAAGTGATTTTTAATGTACACCTTTGGTATACAAAGGCTTCTTATATACGTCTAAATACATGGAAATGTCTTTTGTGCACCTAAGGTGTACATGAACCTTCTTATGTATATAAATTGATACACCTATTTAACATCGACAAGGTTCGGTTGACATTGTCATCTAGTACCAACAAATGACACTCGCCGATTTTGACCAATTTCGATGGTCCAAATGAAAAATTGATGGTTCTTACCCCTCATGACCCATCCCCTAACACCCCACCGCACCCCCACCCTAGACACCCCCTCCCTTTTACCCCCTCTAATTGTGTAGCTATTATGCAATGCAAAATAGCCACATTTGGAAGGGATAAAAGAGGGGTTTAGGGTGCGGGAGTGGGGGTACGGTGGAAGGTCTAGGGAGCGGGTTAGGAGGGGTAAGAACCATAAATTTTAGAAACAGAGCATCAAAGGTGCTCGAAATAGGCAAATGTCATCCGTTGACACTCACTAGATGACGGTATCAACTGAGTTTTGCCGATTTAACATTAATATAATATTATACCCGATTCATTTATTTTTAATGATTTTATTTGAGAAAGTTAATGTGCACCCAAAATGCATGATAGGCAGTAAGCATTTTGGCAATTTGCCCTACCAATAAAAAAACAAACGAACGAGAAAAAGAGGTTGCAAGGATGACATCAGTTAGTTAGAACAGCATATTGAAATGTTATTTACCTTAGACAACTGACAAAAACAATACCCCAGCAAACAGATTTACCCCCGTATAAGACACAGCTCACACAGTATTGGCGAGAGTGGTTGGTTATGCTATGCATGCTTCTTGCCAACTAAGGCTTTCACTTTACAGTCGGCTGCCATGCTGCTCAGGGTAGGGGTAGGGCCTTAATCCACATTCTTCTACCATTTTTTTTTAATATTTATTTAAAATTAATTTTTAATCTCAGCCCCAAACGAGAGCCTACAGCTTTTATTTTTTTATAAACACAAAACAGGAAAACAAAAAAACAGCTTGCAATTAATTATCATGTGAAACCACTACCTACCATTTCCAATCATCCAAACTAGTCCCTAACAAGAGAGCAGCAACACTAATAAGTCTCCAACAAGAATTGAAAGGAGACCAAGAAATGAAAAGCAAACACTATGAATAAATAAATAAATAAATCTCCAACACTAATTTTATGTTTATCACATTATCTGAAATTTGGCAGAAACAAACATAAGAAGCACATTATCTGAGAGGGTACACAGTCAGCTGAGCTTTCCCTTCCTGACAGAAATCCAACGCACGTAATTCATGGTTTTGAACAGGTCACGGTTTTGCCATATGGCCATGGTTTCATAAGGGGAGCTTATATATTATAGTTTGGTTATTTATGCACTTTAAATCACATTCATTAGATGGCAGGCTGGCACAATAAATGGAAGCATGTTTCTTGTTTGTCAGTCTTTGGAGGGCTTAGTCTATATGATGATTTATACGGAGTAATTGAGATTTTATGAAAATTGAAGGATTCAACATTATATGTAATCAACTTTTATTCGGTTTACGAAAAGCATCCTATTTAAGCATTTTATCGGGATGAAAATTTAGCACTCCAGTGGCACGATGACCATCTATGAGTGTCCCTCCTGCCAAACAGTAAATCTTTTCTTCAGTAAAATGTAACAAGTACCTCATATGGTTATATCAAATAATGAAGTTCCTATTGGGCTCCATTTTGAAGACCCCTCTTTAGGTATGCCTCCAATTTCCCTGTTGCTGCCAAGATAAAGCCTGCAACAGCAAATACCCAAGTGTCAGGAAGAGCATTTTTCATGCATGGCCTCACATTTGAACCATACAGATACCAATTTGAAGGAAATCAGAGAATTGTATGTGATTAGGTCTCAGAGCACCAGTATATAACAGTTGAGAAATGCAAAGTAATTGTGCACGAATCTCTCAAAAAATTGAGAAACATTCTGCATTCTTGGCCATGTCATATTACCGAACTCCTTGTAAACTACTACTACCAAAAAAAGGATAACATAAAAATATACACTGATGATTCTTTTGGTATTGATGCCAGTTTTCAGCGTTCAATTTTCGAAAACTACCAACATAAAAGTGAAAACACACGACGATAACTAACAGGTCCTTGGAAAACGGTAGAGAACTATGCAAGATCCAAGTTAAATGAAATACAGAGTATATACTTAATTCTATGTCTAGTTGGCCAAAAATAACAATAGAGAGGTGCTCCTAGTTGAAATTATCAGTTTTATACCAAGAACTCGCTGAAAGTATACAAGCTAGTGTACAGTTTCAGAACATGTAGTAATTCAATTAGATGATTAGAATAGTACACCAGAGTAAGATGTAAGACAAGAAGTAATTAACTGCTTCAAATACTATACCATAAAATAGAGCTGAGGGTCTCCCAGGTCGTGACTTGAATTCAGGATGAAATTGCGCCCCTACATAAAATGGGTGATTTGGAAGTTCTAAAACCTGCAAAGCATGTAAGAGAGACATGAAGCAAGTCGGCCAAAAAAAGTGCAGTGAGAAAAAAGACAACTGAACTAGCAAGTTAATTAATTGAATGTCAAGTTTTTAAAAAGTTTTCCACTCTTCTACGCCAATGATGGCTGCTAACACGAAGAGACAACAGAAGAACCACATAAGTGGCTTGTGTGTGTTTACCTTACAGCCAATTCAACCATTATTATGAACAGCTTAGCACAAACAAAAAAACTAACCTCCATTCTTTTTCCACTTTCATCCCTTCCGACAAATTTCAAGCCAGCTTCTTCTAAAGCACCAACCATCTCAGGATTGACCTGCGCCAGTAGATTAAAATAGGCGCAGTATGACCATGCAAGCCACAATACAATACCACTCCATGAGCACAGTTGTATGATTTACTCATTTACCTCGTATCTATGCCGATGCCGCTCATCCACATATTGTGAATTTTTGTACCTTCAGAAAGATAGAGTACACTTAAGGAGAACTACAACACTAAAGTGTAATAATCATGACAAGTCTATTGGGCTGATGCTATGCTATACATACATGTGAATGCACATGTGCACACACCGAAGGATCTCATTGAAGATATTATCACTGCCCTAGTACTTAGGCATACTAATTAGCATATTCAAGCCATTAAGGTAAATACCATGCAAAGAATAAATGAGTCCATGAAATAAAACAAAAAACGAATGCACACACATATATAAATGAATATGCATACTCACATATATAAATACACATAGACGCCCATCATCCATCCATACATGTGTGTGTAAGTTGTAACTATGTGCGTACACCTATAAGTCTCACGTCCTAAATAACTAGACCCAAACCATCAAATTATGCCAGATGCTCGAATGAACATCATCCCCTAAGTACGTCTTCATTGTCATGCATTTTAAACTAAAGGCACAATGCATCAATGTCTTACAGCTTTGAGGTGATGC